TTAAGCACAAATATTCCATCCGTTTAACCCTGAACATCTTGCACCCTGCAACTGCTGGCGCTAGAGAGAACTCGACGCTGGGGCGTGTTCAGGTCAAAACGGACGTGTTCTTCATTTGCACAGTTTCATGTACCTTCAGAGAAGAATCTCTAGCCAAATCTGCACCAGCAGGCAATTTTTAAGGGAAATCTGGCTTAAAATTCCGAAAAGGGGGACCACGAAATGAAAACATGTTAGACGAGAAAGCACTCGAATACAATCGTTTGCAAAAGTCGGGTTTTCTAGCTCTGTATGGAGCCATCTCATAAGAAATTTGGCACTGACCTTCAACTCACCTATTCTTATTTATCCCAGTATATTCCCTGGGAAACTTCATTTACCTACCTTCGAAATTTAGCTGAAATTGCTGGCAAAATGTACTCTCCATAAATGGGATACAAAAATACAAAAAACACCACGCTTTATTAACTAACAGTAAGAAAGCGAGTAACAATAACCGGATAACCATTTGTAGCGAGCGACTTGTAATGAATGAAAGGCAAATGTATTTCATAGAATTCTTCGAGAACTTCCTCGTTCCGTTCCAACACAGCAAAATCAAACCCTGCAAAGGAAATGCTCAGAACTTTTGAAGCAAGATGAGTTAAGCTTAGTTAAACTTATTGTAAATGAATCATAAACCAACCCACAGCTCGGAACTCGGGCCAGATTTCGATAAATTTTTCCTCGGTATTAGATTCAACCAAAAATTTGTCCCGTAGATAGTTAGACCCCTGAGCACGGATGGCACATGAAGCCGCGAAAAGACCCGATGTCTGCGCCGCAGGCGCCAGAGAGGAAGGTTGTGAAAGGGAGGGCTAATATCCCGCCACGCCATTATACACTCGGAATCCCTGAGATGGGGTAGGAGTGGCTGCGTACTTGAACTGAACGCGGCGGTGCTTGTACTTTTGATGACAGTTGTAGATGACAATTGCCTCAAGTTGAAATATCCCATGAGTAAGGCATCCTATACCAGGTCCGAATGCCACGCCTACTCCATTTCAGGGATAAGGGGTGTATGCCCCGGTTACGACAAGATAATCATCCAAGTACTAAGGGAGTTTCAAGCATCGAATTTTCACGTCATCTACAAATTAAAAATTTTCCGATAAATGAACTTTCTCTTCAATTACTGACAAACAATTTGAAAAAAAAACGTTTAAAAAAGATTACCTCTTAAGAATTTGAACAACATCCTCATCGACCAACACATGTTCCCTACCGACCCGTTGTGGATTGTGTTTTGCCGATGCACCCCACACCAATGCACTGAAAACTTGTTATATTTCACCAGAACCAAGCATTCAAAAAAGCGTTCATACTTCGCGGCTTGATCGCTCATACCGCGTACGACTAATAATTCTTTCATCCTCACTCAATTGAAGAGGTGAAATTATTGTTACATTGTCAAATTTCAGTGCAATGCACTATGAAAACGCACTTCTTGAAGTCCTTCTGCAACGATTTGTGAATTTTCAAGCACAAGTCATCAACCGTGTTCTTTTCCGCGTTCAAAACAATCGGTGCGGAATAATCCGGTAATTGTCCTTTTGGTTTGGTATAACTGAAAAATAAAATAGAAGAATCGTTCAAGAAAACCTATACAATTAAAAATCAGAAATATTCGCTAAACACCATGCGATGCGCCATGCACAAATATTTCTCGGAAATGCGCCAACGTGATTGATAGGGTACCCATCTATAAAATAACTTCTCAGGGTAAACTCAAGCTCCATATGCAATTCCTGCCCCTTGCGAAACAATATGATGAGGTGAGGTAATGATAAGTGGGGCTACTTACCAAGGTTTGCGGGTCAAACCACGGAAAGTTACCCGCCTTGTAGAGTTCGGAAGTCCTATTAGCCTTCCGGCGTAGTTCGGCTTGGTGGGGACAGCGAATGGTACTGAGCAAATGGTACTGTACAGGTCACCTCGTGAAGAGCTGTGAACTCCCGCGCTCAAAAAGGCTCGGCTCACTCATACCACTTCACAGTTTCACAAGAGTTCACATGTCTTACCGAAGCCAATCTGTTGGTTAACATGAACTAGAAGAAGTGCGAAATGTCCTCTCTGCCCCCCCCCTCCCCTTCCTGTATGCGAAATAGCGCCAAAAATAATAGTAAAAGACTGGACATCGCTTTTCGACAATGTTCTTCACTCATCACTCCCCACATTGATGTCCATGAAAGATTCGGCGGATACGGACAGAAGTTGTGGTGAACGCCCACCCTCTTCTCCCATGAGCCGAACAGTGCCAGCCTCCCCACCCTTCCGCGTTAACTAGTCCCCCTTTGTAAATGTCTCCTTTCGGTCAGTGTATAGGACATAGCATTCAGAAGCCACCTATACTTTGAATGAAAGTAAGATGCACGACGCATCCCTAAAAAAGATTATTCAGCGCTAAAGACTTCACCCTTGCAGCTCTATCACTTGAAGTTGGTCTTGTTAACTTTCTTCAAATATTAAACTCACCCCGCCTCACCCCCTCCCCCTCCTTATGCTACAATTTCCTCTATACAGCGGTTTCCGTCGATCCCTCTGACCTTGTTTATCCTGTAATTTCAGGGATATCCACTCATTTCCCATCGGCAGCAGCTCAGCCATCAATCGACCATTCTTTCAACCATTATTTGGCTATTGAGTCCATAATTACCTGGGAATTATTGCAGACCATTTAACACATTTTGTTGAACCGCCGCACTTTGGGAGCCACGACTAACCGGGCTAAAACAATAGCGCAGCCAAATTAAAGGATAAAAGGGTGATGCGCTCGGTGATCTCCCGCACAGATAGGGTTCAACTGGTATGGTTGAGATTCGAGCCAGATCTGATCGCGAACCGTGCTGTCATAATGCCGCCACCGGCTGCTGCTTCACCACCATGCCGGGCGCTGTTCTGCTTGGGAGGGGCATTTTGCACTTCCCTAGTTCCTTAGACTAATTCCTTTTTCATGAAACGCCACATCCTGGCAGGACTCTTGTCAAGCGTAAACGAAGCTCCTGCTATCGCATAGCTTTACAGGAATTTACAGGTCTCCACAAGAGGTATAGACTGTGATTAATAGGAATAAGCAAAGTGCCCCCACCAAGCCGAACTGCGCCTAAAAGCAACCCAAATGGCATAGACCTCAACCATCAAACAAACAGACTCACATTCGAATAAGGTTCAAGTATTGCCACATTTTCTCTAGTAAATCATCAAAATTCCATTTATGATGCGCTGATATTGGCACACAATGCGGGATACGATAGATGATGTCCAGCTCTTCGATCGATATTTGATCGATCTAAATTAAACCAAATTAGTTGAAAACCTTGCAATGCACCCAGAAAATGCAAAACAACTCCACAAGATGGTTTGAAGAAAACCTGAAGGAAAACAAACAAACAATAAACAACTATTAAGGATGATGGTTTCGAAAAGAGTGTGGTACCTTATTCAGGACGTAGATGCAGGGAATATAGACTCGGTTACCCTCAATCACGTCGATTAAGTCTTCAGAAGTCGCATCATACCTGAATGTGATAATTACAATTACCACCGCATAGTACTTCAAAAGATTGAAAAAAATATTGGAAAATCACCAACACTATACACTGAAAGGGAATTTAATGCCTATGAGGGTCGAGTAACGAACATTATGTATCAAAGTACCCCTGGATTATAGTTTTAGTAGAACAGGCGGGATACAGTGCCCTCGAAAATCGCGCGTGGAAGTAAATGTGTCGCCCCGTCAATGCACAGAAATAGGCCCACCGTAAGCTGATTGATTAATCAAGTTTCTTAGCCCGATTTCTGTGCATTGACGGGGCGACATACTTATTACATTTATTATAGCTATTATAATAGCTTCGCACAGCTTGGTTGATGGGGTGAGGCCAGGAAACTAGAGCGTCGAAAGCGACACTAAGACAGCATTCATACTTCGCGGCG